CGTAGACTCCCAGGTTAAAACTTTACAGTGGAAATAAACACGTTTACATGTTTTTAGCTTCATTTGTGTTTCACATATTCAAGTTTCATCGTGGAGGAGACACATCAGGAGGGCATCGGGCACAAACAAATAACAACAAAAACAACATCTCCTCCTTTCATCCATTTTCAGCCGTTTATCTGGTTTATAAGCAAAAAGCCCGGACTTCCCTCAGCCCAGCCTCCTTTTCTAGCTCATCCAGGGAGAGCACGGAGTTGTTCCCAACCCAGCCAAGAGACATAATTTCCCCAGGGAGTCCTGGGTCTGCCCCAGGGCCTAAGGAAGCTGAGGATCAGAGCACCAGGACCGCTACGCCCGGCTGGGCTCCATAGGCACGGCCACCTGACGCTTGCCCTTATCCTGGGTCTGGTCTGAGATCCTGTTCCAGGTAAACCGGACCCTTGATTTTTTTCATTTTCAGATTTGCTCTGTGTGGCCCCACACCGAGGACCAGTTTGTTATGGGGGACCCTATCAGGGGCCAGTTTACCCTCACAACAAGAATGCAATGCACAAACCCCTCCACCGTGATATGTTAGCGTCCATAAAAAGCAAATTAAACACATTGTTAATAATAAATATGTGGACCTACCTGCTGTGGCGACCCCTTGAGAATAAGCTGAAAGTCTCTAAAGCTGCTGTATGGGGCCATTTTTATTTGAATAATAAACGACCTGTTTAAACTGTATTAAGTTTGAATTATCAGGAGGCAGGAGTCCCTGATCTCTGGATTGTGCAAAACATGCAGGCGTTCCCAAACACGCTTGCTGCAATATGATGGACCACCAGGTCCTTGAAGATGTTGCTATTTTGAGTTATTTTTAACATTTTTGAGCATTAAAAAAAGGAACTGAGTGACCAGCTCCCTTTAAATTACAGCTTAAAATCGGGAAACTTGGTCTTTGCACTGAAACTACTGCCTGTGAAAACATGACCAGCCTTTGTTACAGATTACCAGCTGAAACTTCACACACATGTGACAACCTCACATGTGACATTACACAGTCTGGTTTCTGGTTTTTCTGACTCTGACATCCTGTGCTTGATCATTTTCTGCCTTTGCAGTTCTCGTTAGCAAAACCTCATCCTGTGACCTGTAGATCTTTTGTTATGAATGTCTACTGGGTCATAGTAATCTAAAGAAAAGACTTGTTTAAGTTTCTTGAAGGTTGCATTTCTTCCCGAGGTCCTTAGACGATTATTATTACTATGAGCATTTATTCCTGCAGCCCTCCACCTTTTTAGTGGCAGTGTGACAATTAACTGTGAGAAGCTGCCTCCTAATCTTTAAGTATGATTCAGCAAAGGTATTGTGATGCTTCTACATGTTTTATATACAGAGCATCCAGAAAGTTTCACTTGTTCTACATTTTGTCCTGTTACAGCCTTATTCCAAAACTGATCACATATATGGTTACATCAAAATTAATGAGGGCTGTTGTCCGGTTGGCAGATGAGCATCATCAGTGATGTCTGCGCACATATCGGCATTCCCGTGACCTCTCCCTTCCCTCGACCTCGACTAGTCTTCCAGTTCCTGCAGCTGCACAACATTCCCGCAGCATGATGTTAGCACCACCATGCTTCCCCGTAGGGGATATTTGTTTAATCAGACCAGAGAGTTTACTCCTCGTGGTCTGAGAGTCTTTCATGTGCCTTTTGGCAAACTGCAGGCAGGCCGTCTGCGCCTCCATGTAGTCACATCTCACTCTCCCACCCAGTAAGAAAAAAGTCGGAGAAACGGCCGTCGATCTGGAGCCGTACGCTGGAGCATGTTGGCAGCTGCCCCCTTCTGTTTTTATGCAGGCACATCTGTATTTAAACCAAACGAAAATAACCGGGGGAACTTTATCAGGACCAAATTTGTGAAAGGAAAGTCCCCACATTCAGACCTGATGCAAAGCACGTACACTTCACCTGCTCAGCATCCAGCAGGAGCAGACAGGTGGAGCTGGATCAAAGAGGATTAAAAAAAAGATCTGGAAGAAAGTCAGAGTGGCACTTTAACCTTCGCCTGTTCTTGTTTTTGAACAAATAGGTCCAGTGCAAAGTCCCCCCGCCACCACCCCCACCCCCGTGTGCTCGGTTATGAAAGCGTGTGTGAAGGATAATGTTTGAATATGTGTGTGCTGGAATGTGTGCGCCCCTCCCAGCAGAGCTGCATTCGTCAGTGTTTTGGCGTTTAGTGAAGTGTGTTTTTCCCGGCTGCGCTGAAGCTGACAGGCAACGGCTTGTCAGTTCGATCCGACACACACACACACACACACCGACACACACACACACACACACACATAGACACAGGGA